TTCTATTCTGTACCACTGGTCTACATGTCCATTTTGGTGACAATACCATGTCCTTTTGTAGTAAAGTTTAAGGTCTGGTATTACGATGCCTCCTGCTTCACTCTTCTTGCTAAGAATCAGTTGAAATCTTAATTGACCTTCCTCTAAATATGATCTGTTAGTTTTCTCTCATGGCTTTTAAAATTCTATTCTTATTCTGTGTATTAGGCATTTTCATTACAATGTGTCTTTTACATCCTGCCTGTCTGCACCTTGTATTTTAGATTTCTACTTCATTACTAAGATTCAGAAAATTTTCTGATATTATGTCATTGAAAAGATTGTGCATTCCTTTAGTTTGGATTTTGGTGCCTTTGTTGACACCAATGATTACTAGATTTAGTCTCTTAATGTTACCACAAATTTTTTAAACTTTTGGACATGCATGGTCTATTGACAGTTTTCCTTTATTGTCAGCTTTCTTTTAAAGACTATATACTTTGTCTTCAAGGTCTAAGAATTCTTATTCTTTGTGATCTAATCTATTGATGATAATTTCAACTGTTTTAAAAATTTCATTTATTGGGTCATTTCCAGGATTTTTGTTCGGTTCTTTATCAGAATCCCTCTTTATTGAAATGATTTCTCTTCCTGTATTTTCTCTCTAAGTTTATTCCCTACATCTTCTTTTAGCTCATTGAACCAGGAACTCTCTAAAATTTTTCTCCAACATTTCCTCCACTATTATGTCAATGGATCAAGTGTTCAAGTGTTGTGGGCTTTTGCAGGTAGTTTTTTTTATATTTTTTGTATGTCTATCCATCTGCTGGGATGGTTATTCTTCTAGACTAATGCAAGGGACAATTTAGTGAGCTTCTTTCTTTTCAGTTCCCCAGGTTGGGTGAATATCCAGGTATTGATACTCCCACTCAGTGTGTACGCTCCGCTGTTCCCAGAATCAGTGCCACTTGGAGAGAAGATACTAAGCTCTATTAACTGCAATCAATCAGAGCAAAGTCATGTACTAATAAATCTTAGGAGGAAAACTGGTTGAAAATGTACTCCACAGTTTCCCTAATCTGGGTATAAAATTGCAGTACTGTTTGAAATAGATTAAGAAATTAGTTATTAAAGATCATTAAATTATTATTATACAGGGGCTGAAAATGGGAGGAGAGAAAAATTGAGCAAGTAAAAAAATAAAAAGAGGGCTGGGGTTGAGGTAAAGCACTAGTCTAGCATTCATGAGGCACTAGGTTCGATCCTCAGCACCACATCAAAATAAAATAAAGATATTGTCTCCACCTATAACTAAAAAAATAAATATTTTTTAAAAATAAAAAGAAAAGAATAATACAAACCAAGGCAAGAAGAAGAAGAAAAAATGAGGGGATTTAAGGCAGGAGTAGGTAATGTAAGAAGGAAAGAGAGACTAAGAGGGGCAGGTATAAACCCGAGCTAGGAAAACAAAGATTAAGAGAGTGACTCCAGTTAATGCTTTAAAACAACAGGAGAAATAGAATCTAATGGGTTGAGAGTTTTAAGGAAGGTCCAAGATGGCAATAGTTAGGATCCCTCACTGAGACTTTGGTGAGCTATATTTTTAGTATGTAGTCAAGGTCATAAACTGATTCAGCATATGTACTCAAAGTCATAAATATCTGTTTGTGAGCGTGGGCTCACTGTGTGACCTGTTGGCACTGTGCCTTCTTTGGTTGGCCTGCATATAAAAAAGACTTATGGAGAGACTTGGGGATAAGAGGAAGGACTGCTGCCACCTCCAAATAAAGTATGTCTCTTATCCCAGCTGCACCTTGCTTCTTTCAATTGTCAGAACCCCAAAACTTCTTTCTAGGGCCTGAGACTCAGCCAAGCAAGGGTGCAATATTGAATAATAAAGGAACATTTGCTGATGCAAAATGAAAACTAATATATGTAAAGTTAAAATTGACATTAGAGCCGGGCACAGTGGTACATGCCTGTAATCCCAGCTACCAGGGAGACCGAGGCAGGAGGGTCACCAAGTTCAAAGACAACCTCAGTAACTTGCTTAGTTGCTGTAAGCAACTCAGCAAGACTCTGTCTCTAAATAAAAAACATAAAAAGGGTTGAGGATGTGGCTCAGTGGCTAAGTGCCATTGGGTTCAATCCCTGGTACAAAAAAAAAAAAAAAAAAAGACATAAGAGCTATTTATAATAATCCAAGGTGGAGAAATTTCTTATTGAGACTTCCTGATTTGGATTTCATTAGGACTGGGACCTTTAGAAGATGTCCACCAGCCTTGAGCTTTACCTCGGTTTCCCTGGTATGGAGGTAGTGATCACCCCTGCTCACCTCTAACACCACCCTAGGAGGCTCTCTCTGATGTTCACTGTGTCTGGGTATCTATTAGCTTTCTGTTGGGTCATAGAAGATGGTCTCTGATTGTCTGTGACTTAGCAGTCTGGCTATTCCCTATTAGGGGTAGAGTCTTGTGCACCCTCCTGAAGAAAAGCTCCACATATTCAGTTCTGTCAAATCCAGTGTGGGCTCTCTGTGTACATTTTGGGGTGTGCATGGTGCGGCAGTCTAAGGCAGAGGCACGGAAGTCTGTTTGATGTGGTGTTTGGTAGCCGAGGGGAGGAGAGCATAGGGTTGTTGCCCTCTGGAGTGCACAGGTCTGAGGTCAGGGCCTTGTATCTGGACACACTGGTTGGTGGCTGGCGTCTGTGGCATGCTCCTCTGTAGGCCCTTTTGTGGATGTACTGCCATTGTGTATGTGTGAATTTCTCCACAGGCTGCTTGGGGTTATCCTCAGAAAATGCCTTCTGTGGGCCCATATGTCTGAATGAGAATTGAGTCAACTGATAACTCTGGGACTCACAGCTATGGATCCTCCTGGAAAAACAGGGCACAGGAGCTACTTCCAGGTTGCTCCGGAGTTTCCACCGGTCAGTTTGTCGGCCGAGGGCCTGAACCTGCATGCCTGGAGGCTGCTGTGCTGCATCTGCTGGCTGTTTCTGTTGGGAGTGGGGCACAGACAAAAAGCAGTGCGGCCTAGTGGTTAGTGGCACACAGTACGAAGCCAGGCCCCCTGACTCCACCAGCAGTGTGACTTTGGGCGAATCATCTAAATTTCTTTCAGCCTTATTCCCATTCATAAAGTGGGGGAGCGCTTACTATACCTAAAGGACTCAGTCAAGGCCTGTGACATGCAGGCAAATGTGGCAGTGGCCAGCAACCTGCTCTAGGCTGCCTGATGCTCCCAGGCACATAGTGCATCTTCAACTGCAGCCACAGGGCATCTTTATCCTGTCTCCAGGACTAGGGCTGTGGATCTAGCTGCACTGTCCCCTGGCCTTGACACAGATGGACCTGCCAACAGGTGAAGTCTTTCCCTGGGTGGTGTAGGGGACTCTGGAGAGGGCACACACTACCATACTGTGGGCTCTAGGAACAGAGAGCCACTGAGTGGGGGTAAAGAGGGAGGTTTGGGGGTCTCCCTAACATCCTACCAGTGTCAGGAGATCATCTCTTTCCCACATTCCTTCCCAGAAGCTCAATCCCTGAAGCCCCCCACCACCTGAGACCACCCTGCAGGGCAACCCTGGACAGGACACAGAGAGGGCCAGGAGGGGAGCCCCAGACCTGTTGGGTGAAAGCTTCTGAGTGCAGGAGGAGGGGACAGGTGATTCAAGTGTCTCAAGGTGTTTCTCTTCTGGGGCCACCATATGGTCTGAGCTTCCACCATGTCTAAATGTCCCAATTAATAAAAGGGCATTGTTCTCAATTAGTGGAGGTGAATCAGCCTGGAAGAGGGATTGGGCTTCAGGGTCTGGGTTCTTAGATACTGAGGAGAGGTTAGCAGGAAACCTTGGGCATTGTGATGCAGCTGAGCATCCGACACAAATCAGACACACTTTGTGTAGAATATGCACACAGTAGCCATGCTTTAAGCACTATAGATGGTGTGCAATAGGTGCCCTTTAAGTAGAGCACATAATATTCAGGAGGGGTGTTTTCTGTAGAGTATTTCAGCACACAGTTGACATGCCTTATGTGGAGCAGGTGGCATTCAGTAGGCATGCTTTATGCTACGGGTACAGCAATAGACCCTGTGGAAAGTAAGTAGCATTCCGTGGGCATAGTTTATGCAGATCAAGTTGCATTTAGAAGGTCCCATTTATGTAGAGCTGCTGGCACACAGTAGTCTTGCCTTATGTAAAAGTAGAGCCTACAGTAGAAAGACTTGACCTACAGTCTTTTGCAGAGTACAGGACTGGCTTCAAGCAGGTGAGGCCGTAATTGCCAGCCCCTTTCCTATACTCCATATGCCCCCTCTAATGTTCTCACCTGATACCCCAATTCCCATATAGAAAGACTGAGCCCAGGAGGGCTAGCACTCCACAGTCAGAGCAAGGACGAGGGTCTCCTGGCTCTGCCCTCCCTTGCCTGGGCCCCATTACCTGAGGTCCCCTCTTAGCCCTTCTCTTCTCTCACCTTCCTGCTCCAAATGAGCCCAGCCCCAGGTGAGCTCTTTCAGCTGGTTTCCTTATCCCTGGAATCTGATCCAGGTAATGCTCGGCAGGGCTGGATTCTTTGTTGCTACTCCTAGAAGTCAGGTCTCACTCCAGGCCTTGCGCTGCCTGGAAGCAGGACTTGAACTCTTGCCAGGCTATGCAGCTGGTCAGCCACAGGTCTCCATCTCTGAGCCTCCTTGTTTTTTCACTGAGCAATGGTGCGTGATGTTCCCGCAGTCCATGCTTGGAGAGGAGGTCTGGAGACCTTCTGGGGGAAGGCCTGGCCTGGCCCTGCTCTCCTGAACTCATAAATCCATCCTTCGACCTCCTGCACCCTGGCTTTGAAAGAGCAGGTGGGGCTGTAGACTTTATCACTCAGTCACCCTTTCTCACCCCCCACAACATGTTTTCTACTCAGGTAGGAGACGCCAAGTTCTAAGGACATAATGCCCGTGCCCGTGCCCGTGACCACGGAAGGGTTCCCCTTTGCACCCAGTTGGCTCCACCCCCACTCTTGGCTGCCTGCCCAGGCAGGCCTGCTGGGATTGGCTGGTCCAGCCCAGCCCAGCTCAGCCTCCCACAGATTCCTCCAGGTCATCAACCAGGGACAAAGAAATCCCAGAGGAGAGGAGAAGAGCCTGTTGGGGACAAGCTGCTCCTGACAGAAGGTGCCAGACTAGATTTGGTGGGACTGGAGGATCTTTACCTGATATGGGAAGGATGTTGCCCAGGGCTGGGGCAGCTCCAGGGAGCCAGCCAGCCTGGGAAACTGGTGGTTTCTGGGTAACAGTCCCCGGAAATTTGTCTATGACTCAGGAAGGTCTGGACTCTCATCAGTCTCCCTTCATTGTTCTCCTCCCATCTCCAATTTCTCCTCTTCCTCCTCCACCTTCGTCTCTGCTCTCCCTGATGCTTTCCCTGGGTTGCCCTCGCTCTTGCTCCCCTCTCTGAGCCCTCCCTGCCCTTTTCACACCACTGTCCCTGCCCAGGGACCCTAGAGAAATCGTCTCTCCTGGGCCTCCGCAGCTCACCCTCTGTCCCCTCTTTCCTGCAGCATGCCACAGCTGAGCCTGTCCTGGCTGGGACTGGGGCCCACGGAAGCCTCTCCCTGGGTCCTCCTGCTGCTGGTGGGGGCCTCCTGGCTCCTGGCCCGCAGCCTGACCTGGATCTATGCTTTTTACGAAAAATCTCGTCGCCTCCAATGTTTCCCGCAGCCCCCCAAACGGAATTGGCTCTTGGGTCACGTGGGCATGGTGAGTGTGGCAGCAGGCTGGGTTGGGCTATAGGGGTGTATGGACTGCTGAGGGGTCAGGAATGGGGCTCAGGGAGCTGGGTGTCGGGTGGGCTAAGGTCTCGGACAGCAGAGAACAAGGAAGGCAGGTGCTCTGGGGTGTGCTCACCCCGGGATGGGCCGAGCCCCTCTTACCTCCTTGTTCCCGCGGCCTAGTCTGCTTTGGGATTCATTTCTGGCCTGTCTTTGCCGCGTTGGTGCATCCCTGAGGGGCTCCCAGGGTGGGCTACACGGAGTGAGGACCCCCTGGTGTTCCCGTATTCTCTGCTGCTGGACTTGAGTCCTCCACAGGGGTGCTGACCAGGTCTGCTCCTACCTGAACCATTTCTTTGTGTCTGCCCATCTATGGGCTTCGGGATGTTCACGGAAATGAGCAATCGCTTCCCGTGGACTAGCTCAGCCAAGAGGTGGGTCTGGGTTGCCTCCCCCTTCTCCCTCCTGGGGCGCCTTCCTCTTATCTCTCTTCTCCCCTAAGATGAACCCATGGGCCCTGTTGCCCAACCCAGATTGAAGTTGGTTGCCACTTCCCTTTGCAGAAGCCTTCCTCGACCCCACCCATTACTCTAAACCTTGACCTTAGATCTGCCCTCCACTTTAGGGAGCTGTGCTCTGGCTGCTTCCCTTGTAAAGGGCACAGGTTTAGTGAGAGCATGCGCAGAATGATCTGCCAGAATGTGGGTAGCAGCAGGTGCTCATGGGTGGGAGAGTCCTGATGGAGAGATGGAGGTCACCTGACTTCTCTGTCTGCCCTGGGATGCACTGTTGGGACTCGGATAGGGTCTTGAGAGGGATGGGACAGGAGCGGCAGAGATTCCCTCCATCCTTACAAAATTGGGACATGTGTTCACTGCAGAAGGCAAACCACCTGCAGAGGCCGTAGGAAGCCCCTATTGTGGCTCTTGGGATGGTTTATTAGTCAGGGTTCTCCAGAGAAAGAGAACGAAAGGACACGGACACACACACACACACACACACCACACACACAAAGTCCTTCATCACTCAATCATGGGAACCCTACTGAGTAATTCGTCATGAGGCGATTTTGTCCTTTGCCTACACCAGGGGGTGGCCTCACACATACCTAGACGGTGTAGCCGTGCACACACCCAGGCTACGTGGTGTTGCCTGTTGTTCCTAGGTTCATGCCTGGGCAGCCTGTTACCTTTCTGAAAGCTGTAGGCAAGTGGAGCACAATACTAAGTATTTATGTATCTAAAAGTATTCGAACACAGAAAAAGAACACTCAAAGTGCTGGGTGATAGCCGTTCTTCAAATTCTTCAGCTACACTGTAATTTTTTGTTGTTGTTGCTGTGTTCTAAGGATTGAACCCAGGGGTGCTTAACCACTGAGCCTTATCCCCAGCCCCTTTTTTATATTTTATTTAGAGACAGGGTCTTGCTCAGTTGCTTAGGGCCTCACTAAGTTCCTGAAGCTGAACTTGAACTCAAGATTCTCCTAATCCAGCCTCCTGAGTCACTGGGATTACAGGTGAAAACTACCACACCCAACAGCTACACTGCAATCTTAAGGGACTACTATACACATGATTGTACTACACATACAGACATGCATATATATACGTACACACACATATATAGAGACATTACGCAAACATAAATAAATACATATATCTGTGTACATATGTATATAAGATATGTGTGTATGTACGTATGCATGTGTGGTATATATACGTACACACACACATATGTATGTATATTTAGAGAGAGAGAGAGAGAAGAGGGGATTATTAGGGGAACTGGTTCATATATTATGAAGTCCAAGAAGTCTCACTACACACTATCAATGCTGGAGAACCAGGGAATGGTGGTGTCATTAGTTCAGTCTGAGCCTAAGGGCATAAAAACCTTGGGTAGAGATTGCTGATGTTAAGTTCTGAGTCCAAAGGTTTGAGAACTGAAGTTCTGATGTCCAGGGGCAGGAAAGAGTTCTCAGCTCCAAAGAGAGATCGAACCTGTCCTTTCCCTGCCTGCACGTCCTCTCTGGACCCTCAGGGGACCCACACTGGGGAGGGTGCGTCTTCAGTCTACCAATGCAGACGCCACTCTCCTCTGGAAATGACCCAACAGACACACCCAGAAATCATGTTTCAGGGGACATCTGACAAGCTGACACTTGACATCAACCATGTTAGGAGGTGACCACCCCTGCCTTGTTTTCAGATCCAACCCACAGAGCAGGGCTTGAAGGAAGTGTCGAAGCTGGTGGGCACCTATCCTCAGGGCTTTATGACATGGCTGGGCCCCATCATTCCCATCGTCACTCTGTGCCACCCCAACATCGTCCGATCTGTCCTCAGTGCCTCAGGTACCCATGCAGAGCTCTTGGTGGTGGGCGCTATGACACATCTGAGTGCCCTCCACCTACAGGCTTCCGTGGGCCCCTGCCTCGCCCAGCCCCCTCTTCCCTCTTCCTCTCCGCCTTCTTCCTCTCTCTTTCGTGGGCTCCACAGACCCCATCTCACTGTCTTTTTCTTCCACTGTGGTCACCCCTCCACCCTAGTGTTCTCAGTGCCTCCAGAGTCCCAAGAGGCCTTAATCCAGGGCTCTTTCCTGGAGGGATCCCCTAGTTCAAGGAAATGGATCTGGACCAATAACCCCAACATTTTGTATGGGCTGGAGGGAGACAGATTGTGGCAGCTGGTGGACAGCAGGGTCTCTGCCAGGGCAGCTGGAGCCCTCCTAGAGGAGGAGCTACCAGAGCAGGGCAGGGGATGCGCCCAAGCCCCTCTGCCACTCCTGCCCCAGCCTTGCCCTTCTGCAGACCCAGAGCCACGAGGAGGGCTTGTGGCTGGAGGAGGAGCGTGGCTGCTATTTCCACGATACCCAACTCTGGTGGGTGGATTCCTTCTTGTGGCTTGTCCCCTGCATTTTCCCTGCCCTCCTGCTCCAGGCCCTAGGAGTCTTTCTTAGGAGACTCCACCCCAGCCTAGTTCATTCCCCCTGCCCCCTGCCCTTCCCATTCTTGGCTAGACCAAGTTGAGCAGGGGGAAAAGCAACGGCTCTGATACCAAAGTGCTTGGTGATTGGGGCAGGTCCCTGACTCTCTGGCTGCTCAAGTCTCTTTCAGTTGTGGATGGTGGAGACTCACTACGGTGTGCTCTAAGTCAGAGAGGGAATCTGTTTAGTGTAAAGTCCAGGGAGGCTGATCTTCGGGCTCAGTTAGATCCAGCTCTCAAATAATGTCCAGAGATCTGTCTGCTCTCTTGGCACCACTTTCCGTTCAAGGCAGGGCTTGAATGAAGAGCCCCCGAAGTTCACTTCCATGAAAGAGCTCTTCATTCCCCCAGCATTCCCATCAATGACCCATTATTCACTTCAATTGTCCTGGCCTGAATCGGAGGGTAGATTTCCCATTTAATCACTGCAATTCTGATTGCCCAAGTCTTGGCAGGCATGGGACCCCCAGTGTGATTGTTTGGGGGAACACAAAGCAGGTTAGTGGTTAAGCACTCAGCATATGGATTCAGACTCTGGTCACAGGCATGTGACTCACTATCTGGAGGGCCATGAGCGTGTATGTGACTTTCTCATTCAGAGCCTCAATGCCTATCTGGGAAACTGAATGGAAGATGACCCAGGTGTGTAGTGTTTGGGATGCAAGAGGGGAAGGAGTATTTCTGTGACTGTAGCTGAGGGATCCAGACTGTTATGTGCAGAGGATGTGGGCAGAGAGCCCAGGCAGGGCTCAGCATGGAGGATGATGACCTGCTGAGTGGAATTCCCTGCACTCCCTGTCCTGGTCTAGTGCTGTAGGTCCTTCTCTGGTAGCCCAGGGGAGTGTGCATCCGGTTCTGTTTGTTCTCCAGATCCGGGGCTCAGAAGAAGGTCTGCTGTACACGCAGGGTCTGGCGAGCACCTTTGGGGATGTGTGCTGCTGGTGGGTGGGGCCCTGGAACCCAGTGGTCCGAATCTTCCACCCCACCTGCATCAAGCCGGTGCTCTTTGCTCCAGGTAGACACTGGCATGACCCCAGCTGGCCTGCTGCCAAGGTCTCTGTGCTGCCTCAAGCTGTTCGGGGACCTAGTGCAAGCTGGAGGGGCTGCAGCAGTGATGCTCCTGCCTCTGTCTCACCTGGACCCCCACCTGTCTAACCTCTGGTCATGTCTGCTCATGTCTGGAGCATGTCTATGTGACATCTGCTGAATGGCCACAACTTGCCAATGTACATTTACTCCCGGATCCTGGTTACAGCTGGCTAATGTATGCCTGGTTACACCTGGATCCTTGGTGATGGTCCTGCCTAGGGCTCTGTTGTGGCCAAGGACATTTGGGGCATGTCAGAGTCCGTGTGGTTTTGTCTGTGATTCTGTTGTAGATTATCTTTTCTTTCTGCTGGCCTCATCTGGGCCATGTGTGTGGTTTGTCTGGAGTCTGGGTCCCAGAGTCCCTTGGAGAAGAGACTGAGACCTAATTTGAGTGTTGTCTAAAGCAGGTCTTATTATCCAGGTCACATTGGATAACATGTGCTGGGTCACATCTGGGCCATATTTGGGATATGAATAGGACCATATTTCAATTCTGTCTGTGGGGCACAGATGTCACGTTAGACCTTCTCTGGTTCATGTCAGAGGATGTTGTATATGTCTTGGCGGGTCATGTATGTTTTGCCCATGTCAGGACATAACAAGTGTCCCTGTCACATGTCTCGGGTCTATGTCAGGAGATGTCAAATGGTGCTGGGTGGACAGGGTTTCCTATAAGTTCTGTGGAGTGTTGTGCTGTGCTAGAATGTTGTAGAACATGTTGGAGCTTGTAGGACTCACGCCCAGGTATGCTGGTCTGTTTTGTGCCGTGTGTAGCTATTTCATGGCTCTGCTGCTGCAGCCTGGCCTGGTCCCCTCTAGCCTCCTCCCTCTTCCCTATTTCCTCTCCCCTGGAATCCTTCCTGCTATGCTGGTCTTAGAGGGGGGAAGTGCAAGCCCTGCCTGGGAGCCTCCACCTCCTCCCACAGTCCACCCGTTACCCCTCTCCATGGCCCTAATTGTTCTTGTTCACGTCAGCTGCGGTTGCACTGAAGGATGTGATCTTCTACAGCTTCCTGAAGCCCTGGCTGGGTAAGTAACTGCAGATGACAGGGCTTGGGGGAACCCTGGGTGCCAGGGTGAGGTGGTGCCCTTGCCCACTGCCCATGGCTGCCCTACCAGGGGATGGGCTCTTGCTGAGTTCTGGTGACAAATGGAACCACCATCGTCGCCTGCTGACACCTGCCTTCCATTTCAACATCCTGAAGCCCTATATGAAGATTTTCAATGACAGTACGAATGTCATGCATGTGAGTCTCTTGAACCTAGTGTCCAAAGTTGAACCCGGGTGGGAGAAGGGTCACAGACAGAGCCGATCTACAGATCTGGCTCTGATGAACCACTTTGAGACCATTGGTCTTTCTCTCTGTGCCTCGGTTTCCACATTAGTAAAATGGGAATAAAAATCTGTACTTAAAAGTTGTCCTAAATAATATAGTGGAGTTATGTCCCTGGTGCATGGTAGGTGCTCAGAAGGGGTTAGTTTCTATGCTTTTCTCACAGAAGGTCTGTAAAGCCACAGTGCTGATGAATTTGTTGTTAACAAGTCATTTCTGAACCCATTGGTTGAAAATCAATGAGGTTTAGAGTTGCTAACAAGGGTATAAGTCAGTAGGCTGGTTCTTCTAAATAAATTGGATGCAGATGGAATCACTCAAGGTATATGATCAGCTGTGGGTCAGGTAGGCAACTTTGATGACCCTGGGAAGATTCCCTCGCATGTTTAGGGGTTGACTGATGTAGAATGTCCTCATCTCGGACAACTGTACTCTTCTGCATGATTCTGTCCCTTCAGAAGATAATCTGGGGATCCAAGGCAGAGATAGGGTTCCATGGGTGTGAGAGGAGGCTGCAGTGTCTCTTGAAGTATAGGCTTCATTGAGCTATGACCTCATTTTAGTCACATTGTATGGGCCAAAGTCAGAATTCTATCACATAAGCAAATGGGGGTAAAATAGATTCTCCTTCTTTTCTTGCTGAAAAATCACATTGCAAAAGATGTGGATTTAGGAAGTAGGGTAATGTTGGGGATGAGGTTTCTGTGAAGTGCTTAGGATTTTTCTTACTTGTAAGTTAATAAGTTAGCTTGTTATCAGTTCTTGGATTCTTCCAGAAGACATGAGATTCCTGGACCAGTGGCAAAGGGTAGTTGATTACTCATGACTCACCAAGCAACCTGTGCTTCTTGTTGCTTTAATCTTTGCTGCAAGCCACCGAATCCCATGGTGGTGACAAGGCTGGCTTCATTAGGTGCCTGCTCATTGATATATTCCATTACACTAGATTTAGGGAATCTGCTTTAATAGCAAACAGAAACTAGCCTGAATCTCACCCAGAGGAGTCATTCCATCTTCCTTTGGGGTTATTTTCTACAAACATACCTTTGAGAAATGGTCCAGGCTAGGAACCTTGCATTCAGTATCTATGCATGACTCCTTCTCCCAATATAAGAGATTTTTTAAAAATATTTTTAAAATCAAGATCTCTCTATGAAGATGAGGAAAGCTAACCCTGAAGACTCGATGTATACCAGAAATTATGCCATATGCCAATTGCTTAATACATATTGTCCAATTTATTTTCCACAACAATGAATAGCACAGGTTATTTTGCCCATGACAAATAATCATTCTGAGTGTGAGAGAAATTAGGGAGTTTGCTCAGGATCACCTAGCTAGTAAGTGAGCACGAATGGTGAAGCAGGGTTTTTAATCTCTGATAATCAGCCTTTGAAGCAGATCAGGTTAACTGTTGCTGAAGATTTGACATGTGGAACTTCGGAGAAGCAAACAGGTGATTAAAGGTGCACAGAGGCAGTGCTGGGACTTGGACTGATTGCCAGCCTTGGGCATTCATTTCTCAGTAGGAACAGCTTCTGCTCCTACTGAACATGATCCTCCCTGGGTTTGGGGGCCTTGGACTGAAGACTCTCAATGAGGCTGGCTCTGAAGAGTCCATCCTGGTAGGAGTAGTTGGGCAGGGGCTCTGGGAGCCAAGGCCAAGCCCCAGCCGTGTTCTCTTTTCTGGTCAGGCCAAGTGGCAGCGACTGGTCTCAGAGGGCAGCGCCTGTCTGGACATGTTTGAGCACATCAGCCTCATGACCTTGGACAGTCTGCAGAAATGCGTCTTCAGTTTCGACAGCAATTGTCAGGAGTGAGTCCTTTCCTAAGGTCTTGGAACCTAGGCCAGGGACTCAAGTGAGTCCGTGGGGGAGGGAGGGCTATGTGTAGGGGCCAGAGGAGGCTTCCAGGAGGTTGTGAGTTAGAACTGGCACTGAAGGACAGGGAAGGGGAGAGAGAAATTAGTTCTTCCAAGTAGGTGGAATTGTTTGAGTAAAGGTAAGGGGGCTCAGATGAGCAGAGTGTGTACAACAGGCAAGAAGGAGACTCTGTGGATGAGGATCAAGTGGCAGGAGTGGGTTGGTCTTAAGGAGATTGAAAGTCAGGCAAAGGAGTGTGAATTTTATCAGGAGGTTTTCAGGGAACCAATGAAGGTGTTTGAGCTGATGATGGGCATGATCAGAGCTGAACTCTGTGGGACTTCTCGTGTAGACAGTACCTGGAGTTAACACTGGGTGCAAGGAGGCTAGGGCAGGGGCTGCTTCTAGGACCAGTTAGAAGAGAACGATGTGTGAGCTGTGGACAGTATCAGGCAGGAAAGAGGACAGGACTGGATACTGAACAAAGGAGAGGAGCTTGATGTCCAGACTGTGCTCTGGGTTCCTTGGGGCATGAAGGTGGGTCACAGAGATGGGATGCAGAGAGAGAAGAGACAAAGGAAAGTCAACCTGATGGCCTATATCCACTGTGTATCTGAGAGGCCATGTGTTGCTGGATACTCACTTTTCCTGATGGGAGGTAGCTCCCAGCTGCTGGTGAGAAGTTCTCCTTGGGCATCAGTTATGTTGAGCTGTTGCCTCCTTTTATGTCCTCATCCTACAGGAAGCCCAGTGAATATATTGCTGCCATCTTGGAGCTCAGTGCCCTTGTGGTCAAAAGAAATGAGCAACTCCTCATGCACATGGACTTCCTGTACCTTCTCAGCCCCAGTGGGCAGCGCTTCCGTAAGGCCTGCCGCCTGGTGCATGACTTCACAGATGCTGTCATCCAGGAGCGGCGCCGCACCCTCCCTGATCACGGTATTAGTGACTTCCTCAAGGCCAAGGCTGAGTCCAAAACTTTGGACTTCATCGATGTGCTCCTGCTGACCAAGGTGAGCTTCTCAACAGGAGGACACTGGGAAGCCATAGGAGGTATCTGAGAAGGGAGGATCAAGCTAGAACTGAATAGGTCTTAGAGATAACTCTTGGATGCAGCCAGCAGGGGACTCCATAGTCTGAAACTGTGAAGGGCCTGATAATTTAATCTATTTGCAAGTTAAGAAGTTTGTATACTACATTTATATCTGTATCTATATCTATGTTGACAAATGCACCAAACACTTTGATCAATTCCATAAGTGACTAAGTGACATACAAAATCCAGTTATTACAGTAATGGCACCCTGAGTAGGATTGTAGCAATGGTTCCCAATTCCCAACTCTTCCTTCCCCAGATGATGCAAGATTTTAATCTGTTTTGAAGCTTCAAATCTTGAGTTTTTAAGCTTATATAGGACAGGTGGCACAATTGCTCTTCTGGCAGGGTGGAGAGGGAGGGGACAAACTTTGTTCTGGAGAATAAACAAGTTATCTTCAGTGGAAAGGTAAAGTCAATTAGCCTGAGAACCAAATCCCTCTGGGGACTTAAGGTAAGATTCTCACTTGAGAGTGTGAGCAAATGTATTTGGAATGTTAAATGCTTAATGTCCAAGGTAAATTGCCATTTAATAATCCTCTAACCCAAGTTCCAGTAAGTAACCCTTTCTCAGAAATTCCTCATTATACAGAAATTATACAGAATATGAAAATATTCATGGATCATTTATTCTTCCTGCCAGGGACAAACTAGGAGGCAAGGAAGCCCAGCAGGATGACTGTGTGGTGGGGATTCAGATGATGGTGACCAACAGAGGTCTAGGGGTGCATGTGGCTTGGGTTTCTGGATGGAAGACAGATCTTTTTTTAAGTATTTTAGTTGTAGTCAAACACAATACCTTTATTTTATTTATTTATTTTCATGTGGTGCTGAGGATTGAACCCAGCGCCTACACATGGGCTAGGCTAGCCCTCTACCGCTGAGCCCCAGCCCCAGCCCCTGAAGTCAGATCTGTAGAGATTGTGTCAGTCACACTGAAGATCCTGCAGACCTGGTGTAATTTGGGGTGTGGGATGTCCTGTCTTCTCTCCAGGATGAAGATGGAAAAGAGTTGTCGGATGAGGATATAAGAGCAGAAGCTGACACCTTCATGTTTGAGGGTGAGGGCCCCAGTGCAGGACTACAGAGGGGGTGGAGGGTCTCTCCACCCCAGCGATGGGCTGGGTGGACCCTGGATCACTGCATTCTGTCCATTCTCCTCTTTCCCATCCTTCCTGGGACCTCAATGCTTGGGCGCTGTCCACCCTCTGGTGCAGAAGCAGCCCAGAGGCCCAAGGCTGCCTGACTGCCCCTCAGGCCATGACACCACGGCCAGTGGTCTCTCCTGGGCCCTGTACAACCTGGCAAAGCACCCGGAATACCAGGAGCGCTGCCGGAAGGAGGTGCAAGACCTGCTGAGGGACCGTGATCCTAAAGAGATTGAGTGGTGAGTGAGTCCTCAAGGCCCTCCCTGAGCCCCTCTCATGGGCCCTGCTCCCCAGGTGGGGATGGGTAAGATGCTTGTGATTTCATTATTGCTTTGTGGGAATAGGATCCAATTCAGAGGCAGGGCCTAGTACCCAACCTGACTAGCAAGGGTACATTTGCAGTATTTGGGGACAAATGATCTGAACTTATGGGAGATTCAGTGACACTGTGACAATCTGTGAGGGTAGAACAGGACTGTCAGCCATGGTCAGGAAGTGGACTTCCCCTATACTTCCTCTATTTTCTTTCAAATAGCACTTTTTCAAGGATCTTCACCTCCTAAAAGTTTGTTCTTCTCTTGTACGTAATTCTTAACTTCCTATCCAATCCAAGGATTCATAGGAGATACCTGGAAGTAAAAGTCATCTGTTGTACCCAGAGCACCTGCATCCTTCATCGGTGCAGCCTTCATTCAGAAAACAGGCCCACACTGTCTTCCCATCCCCCATTCTGTGCTCAGCCCTGCTCTGTGCTCTAGAGACCTGAGAAGGAAACAGTCCCGGGATCTCCTTCCAGGAGCTCTCAGATTGGTGGGCAAATGATCCCTGGTGGGGGACACTGCAAGCATACAAGGGTAGGAATGGGGTTGAGAGGAAGAGAAACAAGGGTAGAGGTAAAATAATGGTTTCAACTGAGCCCCTGAATGATTAGCAGAAGAATTTTCTTTTTCATCTGAGGAACAGTGCTCTAGGTCAAGAAGCAAGTCTTTACCAAAATGGGCGATGCAGAGGGAGGAGGAGTAAAACAGAAGGGGGAGGGGAGAAGAGAGGTGAAGGTTTGTGTGTGAAGAGGAAAGGCTCAGATGGAAAAGGAAGAAGGTGGAAAGGAAGAGAAAGAGAGTACAGAGAAAGAGAAGGGGGGACTGAGAGACAGAGGGGGATGAAGAAGAGCTGTAGTGGGTACAGTGAGCTGGGTTTACTGGTGCACACCTGTAATCCCAGCTACCGGGGAGGCTGAGGTGGAGGATCAAGGTTTGGGGGCCAGACCTTGTCTTGAAACAACAAAAACAATAATAATAATAAAAAAACAAAATTGATACCCCCCACACACAATTAAATGTGTGTATTTTGTTTTTTACTTGTTTATATTTTTATTCTTCTCTATAGTATCAAGGACACTTATTTTCATGCAAACTATTGACTTCTTTACAGTGGTGTTTTTTTTTTTTGTTTTTTTGTTTTTTTTTTTTTTGGATACTGTGTTTGAAGAAAAACTTCTAAAGATACCTAGTTACAGCTTCTCCAGTCCTTTCCTAATTGCTTTTCCAATTCTCAAATACTTGATCCATCTGGGGCTTATTTTATGAGAAGGAGAAAAGGTTTCACCCAGACGCCGGCAAACTCTGTTTTGTTCTCGGGATAATTTGGGGGTGGTGGTGGTTTTAGGGACGACCTGGCCCAGTTGCCCTTCCTGACCATGTGCATCAAGGAGAGTCTGCGGTTGCACCCCCCAGTTACAGTTATCTCCCGCTGCTGCACCCAGGACGTTGTGCTCCCCGACGGCCGGGTCATCCCCAAAGGTACCCACAAGGCAGGGGGAGGAGGCTCCTGTGCAGGAAAAGGGCTCCATCAGGCAGTTGGACCTTGTCCCTTCTCTCCCACAGGAGTCACCTGCCTCATCAGTATTTTCGGGACTCATCACAACCCAGCTGTGTGGCCGAACCCTGAGGTGCTGCCATTCTTGTCCACTGCAGGGGTGGAGTGGCGTTTTGACCCCACCACACGCACCCCTGTCTCTCCCTGGGTGTGCTGGCAGACCCCACCCAGCAACTGTGTCTTGGTGGACCTCCCCTCCAGGTGTATGACCCCTTCCGCTTTGACCCAGAAAACGCCAAGGACAGGTCACCTCTAGCTTTTATTCCTTTCTCCGCGGGACCTAGGTAAGGAAAGCTGGAGTCTGAGATGGGGGAGGGGTGATGGCATCGGGACTTTGGGGATGGTAGTGCGCAAAGGGGGGAAGTTGCGGATGGTCAGATGCTGGTGTCTTTCCTGCCGCTCTTGTAGTTTGTGTGCCGAGGTTAGGAGAGTGGCTGTTGGGTGTGTCCCCAAAGAGGTCGGTCCAAAATGGGGCCCACTCACCGTGTGCTCAGAGCCTTCCCACCCCAGCTTCTAGGCTGAGTTGTGTGTGTGTGTGTGTGGGGGGGGCTTGGGCCAGGCTCTGGGGACAGGATCACCCACAACGGTCCAGGCACGTCAGCCCCCCTCGCTGCCCTTCAGGCTGTTCAGGGTCGGAAGGGGGATCCCGTCCTGGATGGGGGTCCCTGGCGCAGTAAGAGTCCCCACCCCGCCCGCAGGAACTGCATCGGGCAGACTTTCGCCATGAGCGAGATGAAGGTGGTGCTGGCGCTGACGCTGCTGCGCTTCCGCGTCCTGCCCGACGACACCGAGCCGCGCAGGAAGCCCGAGCTAATCCTGCGCGCCGAGGGCGGGCTCTGGCTGCGCGTGGAGCCGCTGAGCTCCAGCGCGTCGTGACCCACCGAGGCCGGTCCGGGGACCCCTCCATGCAGATCCCCCAAGCTACCTGGGCAGATACCAGCAATAAAACGGTTTCACCTGCGTTTGAGTCTCACCGAGCGTCAGCAGGGGGCGCTGGGGACGTCGGGCAACCAAAGTGGTGGCCTAGGTGCGGGAGGTGAGGCCCGACCCTCGCTGGCTCTGGCTGGCCTCACAGCCCCTGAGCACATGGTGGGAGTCTTGGGAGGGTTTGGAGCAGAAGGTGGACCTAGAGTAAGGGCAGGGTTGAGCCTCTGAGTCACAAACGCTCAGAACACTAAATATTTACCATCCTTACCTCTGTTCGCATCTCCTAATGTAGCCTGCATTTTCTCATCATGGGATTTTTTCACTGTTGCTGTGGCTACTAAATTACTAGGTTTATTAAAAATAGCAAACTCAGTTGTGTTTTCTTTGCTCCTGCTCCTTCCCACCATCTTCTGCTTTTCTTACTTTTAGAGACAGAATCTATGCAGATCAATGTCTAACTCCTAGGCTCCAGCGCAAATCTTGCTTCATCCTCTGGATAGCCGGGTACCAAGCATGGGCCCGCGCTCTGAGCTGAGCATGACTAAGCATGGTTGTTTTACATTGTGTCTGATCATTGGAGTCGCTGTATTTTTATTGCCTGTTATTTTTGCTGATTTTTAAAAACCTTTTTATTGGGGTCACTTTTTATTGGCTGGTTATCTTTACCTTGATAGTGGCTGTCGTGTTTGAATAATTGCACAATGTGAAGTAAGCAGTGTTCTGTAGATTATGTGAAAGGAAGATCAAAGCTTGTGGTATCCAAGGTCATTAGGGCAGTTTAATTCACTCTGCAATGACACGTGAGGTCTCCTTCATTTCAGTTTACTCCCTGCCTAGAGACATCCCCTGAGGTCCCACTTCTGTGAAGAGGATCTTGGAGATTTCAACCCCTCTTGTTTCACTCCTGGGTTTTGATTCTTTTCATCTCCTCATGAGCTTCCCATTTTCCTGACTTGAGAACAAAGGTCTACTTCATGTTCATTTCATTTATAGCTTTCTGCTTTCATCAGAATAATGCCTGCTTTTTTTCCCCCTTGCTGGAAATGGAACCCTGGGTCCATGTTAGGAAAGCCATTTCCTGTGAACTAAACCCCAGCCAGTTTTGTGATTCCTTTCTGTCTTTTCACATCACTTATTCACCTATGGAACTGGAAAAGCATCCAGCCTTAAAAGTTGTTTTAAAGCAGTGGGGAACTTAATCCAAACTTGGTCTGCAATTAATGGAAGCAGCTAGCTTACAGTGAGATTTTAAGTTGGCATGATCTTGTGATTATCCAATTTTTGGATATATTGGGATGATCATTTGCCGTGACCTGCATGGCCAAACTCTAGAAACCAGCAAGGGGCCATGGGGTATTAATAAAGACACACAAACATTAAGAGAGAAAGCTGGGATCAGGTGAGACACTGACCTCTAGTTGAGAACAGTGACCCAGAGCTGGCTCAACATGTTTATTATATGGGTTTTTATCATCAAAAGATTATCTGTGGGAAAGTTCTGCAAAAGAGAGCAAAGTGGAGAGGACAGATGAACTTTGTGTTTGTAGCCTTTGGAGATTTTATGATTGTGTTCCTGTGTTTAGGAAGGCGAGTGTACAGTGGATATTTTGGGAGTGTCTGGGGTGGACTGGTCAGGGACTGTGGATTGTTTATCCTGATATCCATCTTTGCCCTCTTAGAATCATCAATGTTTTGCTAAGATGCATAGCATTCTGGAATATATAGATTATATTTGAACCACTTTCTTGAAGCTGGTTTGATTAAATGACTTTGTCCTGTCACATGTGGAAAAGTCAAAGGTTTTGTGATAATTCTGATAGCTTTTGCTAACAGAAAACTAGGACAGTCTGTCCCCATCTTCTACCTTCATCCTTTCTGCTGCTTGCAATATCGATTATGTAACTGGAGCCCCATCTCAGACCATGAGGACAAGGTCTACTTTCAGGAACAAGGGATAGATAGCTAGAGTCAATCTGGGCAGATGACCCTGGGTCCATGCTCGGGTCTGATTATTTGTGATCTGTACTCCCCCCACCCCAGATTCATAAGTTTAAGTCCAATATTGTGACATGAAAAGGGGGGAATTTTGGAAGGTGATTATGTCATTATCCTTTATGAATGGGTATAGTTCCCTCTTTTGAATGAGCTCAGTGGGAGATTTCTTTACCCTTCCAACATGCAAGGAAACACACAGAAGTTCCATCTATGATGAGCAGGCCTTCTCCAAACACCAAAACTATTAACACCCTATTCTTTCCAGCTTCCAGAACTGTGACTAGACATTTTTGCTGTTTATGAATTCTCCAGCCTAAGATATTTATTTTACTATGGCATCCCAGATGGACTAAGATAATTCCTTTCCTCTTGGGGTTGTCCTATCAAAATCAGAATCCTAGTCTGCTACTTACTAGCTGTTTGGCTTGGGGAAAATCATTTATCTCACTAAGGCTTCCTTACTTTACTACTTAATCGTACCCCCTTTTGTTCTCTTTTGAAGATTTACAAGTCTGCATGTACAATATAACTGAGCCAATATCTTCTAAGCATTTGCAGTACATCGAGTCCAATTTTTTTCCTTTCTTTATTTTTGCATCGTGACTTTAAAGCTTAAATGTTTTAAAATCATAAAAAAAAAATGTTTACATTTCTATATTTATTTCTTTATGGTACTTGGGATAGAACCCAAGACTTTGCACATGCTAGGGAAGTGCTCTTCCCCTGAGGTAACTTCCTAACCCCAAAGAGATGTTTGAGTTTTGGAAAACATGGCAACCTGATGTTGGAGGAAACCACTGGAACATTCAGTAGTTTCTAAATATCCACAGTTATGTCTGAGAAACTTTGATCTGGTCTGCTACTGGCTCCAATGTGAACTTGAAATTTGAAGATGCACAACCAGAAATCCCTTCTCCCTTAGATGTTGCAGGTAGTGGAAGTTGCAGGGGTTTTGAATACAGTGGGAAGACAAAGGAGTGAGGTTATGGGTGGAATGGTGGGGGCTGAGGTGGGGGTAAGGGGGTGTCCACTTCAGCACCACGGACAGTAGCTTCCCCTGCCCTGGCTCCTCTCTCTGCCTGTAGGTGTCTCCCGCTGGACACAGGAGGCCACAGACTGGGTGGATGGGAGGACTACTGGCTGTAAAATTAGAGAGGAACACAGATGGCCAAGTGAGACCAAAATAAATAAATAAATAAATGCAGTATTAGAGGAAAGTCACCTTTATTTTTCTCTTTATTTATCTTGCAAGTCCTTTTCTTATCACAAAATGATATGTATCCATAGAAGAAAGTGTAAAAAATAAAATTCTACAATACCAACATATCTCAATAATCACTGTTAATATGCTCTCATCCAAAATCCCAATTTTAAATTATAAGAAATGTTTTACATGTGAAAATTAATCTTTGTCTAAATGTATTACATTTACATGTAAGCTTCTGCTTAAAGATGCTCTGTACTGGCCATGAAGCCCATGAAAATGCGGTGCCAACCAGCATATCTGCCCTAGGCTGCCCGATGCTCCTAGGCACATAGTGGGTCTTCAGTGAGCTCAGTAACTGCAGACACTGGGGTGTCTTTCTCCTGTCTCCAAAACTATGGCTGGTTGATCCCGCTCTGGACTGTCCCCTGATCATGACATGGATGGACCTGCCGGCAGGTGAAGCCTTCCCCTTGGGTGGCATAGGAGATTCAGGGGAGGGTACACACCACTGTACTGCCCCATGACTCTAGGACCAGCCACATGAGTCTCCTAGCTATTGAGTGGAGGTGGTAGTCGTGGTGCAGAGGGAAATTTGGTATCTTCTTAGCATCCTACCAGTGTCAGGAGACCATCTCTCTCCTGCTCTGCTATGAGCTGAATTCCTGAAGTTCTCACTTGAGGCAACCACAGAAGGAAATTATGGCCAGGATCCTGAGAGGGCCAAACACATGGTCTCTTGGGTGGCGTCTCCTAGCTGCAGGAGGGTGACCCAGGTGGTGATTAAAGGGCCTCAAGATGGAGCCACCACATTGCTGGAGATCCCACCAGTTAAAAATATCCCTGGATTAACACAAGGCATAATCTCCAATGGATGGGGACATAATCGTGCACACAGAGCCTTTGGCCCATCCTAGTCAAACTGCTAAAAACCAGATGAGAAAAAGTCAGGATTATAGCCAGAAAGGAAAGAAACAGAAAAATGATACAAAATATGAAATTTTTCTAACAAGGGGTGTGGTCCTCGAGAGATTCTTCATGCCCCTGAGCTCACTTCTCCAGGTTACTTGGTATTCTACAGTTTTCTTGAGAGCTGGGGATGGAATCCAGGGCCTGGCACATGCTGGGCAAGTGATCTACCACTGAGCCCCAACCTCAGCCCTCTACATTATTTTTTGAAATGGTAAAGAAATGGGTCCAAATGACTTTGGCCACATCTTCTGAGAAAAAAAAAATTGTAGAAGTGGCTCCTAACTTGTCATAGCCGCTTCCTCTCTCACATGTACAAGCTCTTTACGAACAAATGTAACAGGAAACCTAGAGGGAAAAGGCATCAGCGATCTCCAAACTTACTCTAGGGAAGCTACAATGTACCAATGTGGAGGGGAATGGAATGTGTGGCAGAAACTTGGAACAAAAAGGCCTCCCCTAGACAATGTGTCATCTCCCCAAGACATGAACTGTGATAATGTCTCTAGAGTTCCTGGGGGCCTTGCAGAGCCAGGGAGGAAACATCTGATAGTGGACATTGCCTATCACAGGACGGGTGTGTCTCCAGACAACACCCAAGAGGTCGCCATAACTCCAAGGGCTGTGAGCGCAGCAGAGGACAGTGAGCTGCAGCCGTGGCTGAAGGGAGGCACTGTGGGTTGAGGCTGAAGGACCTTATGCCAATGGAAGAACAACCTACGTGCATGCCCAGGGAGCCAGATGAATCAAGGGGCTTGGGCAGGAGTCATTTGTCCATCCAGATGTCCAGTGTACCCTTTAATGATTGACCACCAAGAAGGAGGGGGAAACTCGGGATCCCCATAATCTCATGATCACTCTGTCTA